TTCTATTGTACTCATTTGCATCTAATCCACACACAAAAATAAGCTTGGCTTTAGCATTAGCTTGAAGGAGTTTATAATCATGCTCATCAAATTCATCCTCAAGTTTAGGCACACTGATATGGTCTACTACCTTGGTAGGGATTTTAGGACCTTTAGTGATAATGAGCCACAAAGCATAATTGGTAACTTGAAGATACAAAGTCATTTTTTTTCTTTCCAATGAATGTAATTACTACCATCAAAGAGAGGTGGTCTATTGCTAGCTTGTCCTACAGCAGAGTAAGTAGAATACATGGTTGCTATGGATCAAAAACTCAAGATTGTTAAATCTAAACAAGAGCCCCAGGCTCTGATACCAATTGTTACCCAAAAGACAACCTAAGAGGGGGTGAATTAGGTTTTTACAATTAAAATTAATAATACCCTAATAAAAGTTATGACTAGCACAATAGATAAATATAATTAATGAAATAAAAATAATTAAAACAAGTGTCTTAACAACAATGTCAGTTAATGATTTTGGCACAGTAAAAATGTGAAATATAGTTATGGCAAATTAAAATAAAATAAAGAGATAAGGGAGAGAGAGGCAAACAAATTTATAGTGGTTCGACTTCAACTCAGCCTACATCCACTCCTCAAGCTTCACTTGAGATTTTCCACTATACTCTAGTTTCACAGGGTGCTAGCAACCTTTTCACAGATAGAGCAATCCTCCACAGATTTTATAGACTTTCTAAGTCATGAACACTGAGTGTACTACACTTTTACAAGGTTGAAAAGAAGGTATTTTTGCTTTCACAGAAAGCTACAAGAATTATCTCTCAAAGATAGATATAAAAATGAGACTCTAATTTTTCTGTAATCCTCACACAAGAAAGATGGGCTTAAAGCTATACGTCTCAGTGTATAATATCTGAAAGAGGATGTAAACAAAAATTGAAGAACACTTCTCAGAGAATTTTTCAGAGAATAGATGTGAGTAATTATAGATCAAAGAATATTTTCTGATTTTTTTTTGTAACTTGTTTACATTAGAGGCTTTGGTATATATAATGAAACTTATAGCCGTTTATAGCCGTTGTATTCATTTGAATTTATAGCCGTTTATAGCCGTTGTATTCATTTGAATATCTTCCACTCTATCATTACTAATTTGAATATCTTCCACTCCATCATTACAAATTTGAATATCTTCTACTTGAACCTTTTGAACTGCTGTTGTGCTGGGTTGTTTGAACCTTTTGGTCTGCTGCTGTGCTGCGCTGTTTGAACCTTTGTTTTGGGTTGTTTGAACCTTTGGTTTAATCAAATATAAAATACATTCTAACAACATTTAGGATAAAAGTTTTAGGTAAGAAATAATATGACAAAATAAATTTTGATTCTATTTTTATCTTTCAAATAAATTAAAACATAATTCAATAAATCATCAAAATAAATTTTGGATTTAAAACATAATTAAATAAATCATCAAAATAAATTGTGGATTCTATTTTTCTTTTTCAAATAAATTAAAATATAATTAAATAAATCATCAAAATAAATTTTGGATTCTATTTTTCTCTTCCAAATAATTACAACATAATTAAATAAATCATCAAAATAAATAAGTCTAACAATTACTATGTGATGCACACACAAGTATAGACTATTTTGCAAAACTTGGAACACTTTGATTCATGTTTGTTTGAAAATTGTTTCGAATATGTACCACTTGAAAAAGTAATCGCATTTGTCCATTACTCAAATTATTCCAATTCGAGCAATTAGGCTTTATCCACAAACATTCAAGTAATTTATCAATTAAGCACTTAGCCTTATGGCAAGCATGCTAGACATGACAACAATCACATTCATGCAATATGCTAAAGCACAAAAATGCTCACCTAGTATTCCGAGCCAAAGAGATGAAAGAGTTAGAAAATGCGTAATCCTAACTAATGCAATATGGCTAATGCAACACATGCGATGTGCAATTTACTAGGCTCGGCTACTAATATGGCGTATGAATCAATTTGATAGCATGCGGTCTAAACACGTATTCAAAGAAATATTGACAAATAATGCAAGTTAGAATGATGCACCGAGCTCAATGCATGCAAGACAATGGATGCAAGGCATGAGAGATGCTAAATGAAACATGATGCCTTAAACTAACCATCATAAGCAGTTAAATAAAAAGGAGAAAGACGTGGGGTTGGAAGACATACACGTTATTACAAGATTGTGCCCTCACGCAAGAGGGTCCAAGTACACTAACTAGCTACGATAATTACTACGAATTACAATTTGAATGAAATAATTAACTAAACTAACTAATTAAATATTACAACAATTAACTAACTAATTAAACTAGCTATTACAAATTAACTAATTACAACTCGAATATAATATGAGAGAAGTATTAAGCTAACTACTTTAACTACTTCACCTTGGGAAATGAGGAGTGCTTATGCATGCGCGAATTTCCACCCGAAAAGGCCACTGTCCTAGTGCCAGATGCCTCTGTTGCATAGTATAACACTTGCATTGTTTTTCAACTCAAATCAACTCTGTTTTTCCAGAAAAAGCACACTGCTTGGTTTTGCAAAGGTGGCCAGCAGGCTAGAAGTGGTGGCCTGCTGGCCACTGATGACTGGATTTTCCTGCTGTAACAGAGAGTAAACAGAGTAGGAACAGGGTAGTCTCAAGGGTTTGTTTGCACATCTTACCTCTCCTTATCATTTGAACAGCTCTAAGCAGTAGTAAACTTGGTTCACAAACCATCAATGAATGCAATTTCATTGCATGATGGCCTATGAACCAAAGGGTGCAAGTTCAATAAATGCAATAAATAAAGACTCTTAAACCCCCTCCCTATCATGGATTGATCAAGGGAAGTGGTTGACAATGACTCTTGAACCGTTTACATCACTAACAAGTATGAAACGACTCAAGACTCAAGGGCTCAATTAACGTCCGATTGAACCCAAACCAAGTTATTATCTTGCATCATTTTTAGTCTCCAATTTTATTTCTCCATTTTAATCACTAACCATTCCTTAGTAAATTGAGTCCAAAAGTGAGCTTTAAGTCCTCTAATGGAAACAAGTATCAAACCAAGAGTTGTTTTAGACATGAGAGAAGTGTCATGTCACTGGTAATGAACCCCCAAAGGGATTAAACCATTAAGCACAAGACCTCAATCTCATGCTTTAAACAAGCAACTAGTTTGAACCAACTTTTAAAGCAAAGAAAAAGCCAAGAAAGGAGGGAGGTTGCAGAGGTGATTAAAGGTGATCATAAGTATGGAAAGTCATAAATAAATATTATCAACTCAGATAGGATGGTGGCTAAGGCCTAAAACACCAAACCTATGAGGACAATTACACTATAAGCATGCAATACAAAGCTCAAATGTAATGAATACTTAAAAATAGTCCTAAACAGTGCTAAATAAGTCCTAAAACATGCTGGAATTAAGCTAACAAAAGCTAGAATAATAAGCTAAAACATAGAGCTATGCTAGCTAGTAAACAAAAGACAAGGAAGGGAGGCTAACCCCTCCAATTTTGGACTGCAAAACATGTTTTTAGCTACTGAAATAACTCTAAAAATCAGTGTTTAAAAGCTCAAAAAAAGATAGTGTAAAGGTGAGAAACACAAGGGTAAAGGCTAGAAGAGAAAGGTGGAAAGAAGGGGGAAACACCCCTCCACCCTTTAAGGCCTTAAACCACAAGTTTCAGCCCAAAAATACAGAGTTTATACAGCCCAAAAACAGTGGAAAAATAGTAAGAAAAGAAGCAACTAAAGCAATGAGACAAGTAAAGCCTTATACCTCTTGAAGAGAAGAACACTTTTAAACAATAATTCAACTCAAACACACCCTCAAGAGCTCAAGTTAGGCTCAAAAGTACCTCAGCTCAAAGATGAAAATATTTGTTTAAGAGTGTATCGGCTAAAGTTCAAGAAATTTCAAGAGAGAGAGAGAGAGAGAGAGAGAGAATTATAGAGAGAGAAAATTAATTTTGTTCTAATTTTTCTAACCCTCAAAAAAAAGGAGAAGAGGTCCTATAATTATCGAAAAACAGGCCACCTCCTCAAAAATATCCATCCATACATATGTAAGTGGATGCAAACATCTGTGCAAACAGCTGGCACAACTGACAGAAAAATATCTACAAAACACACTTGTGACCGGCATGCCATTAATTCTGGTTGGCAGGCCACACTCTTGGCTAGCAAAGCACAAGGGTGGCCGACAGGCCACAAAAATGGGCCTGCAAGTCCCAAGTTTTTTAGGTTTGAAAGGTTGGGGTTTTGGTGCAAAAACAAGGCACAAGGTTTGTAGGGTTTTGAGGCTCAGAGCTGTGGCATTCCACTGAGGACTTTCAAGCACTTAACAAGCATATACATTCATCATTGGGTGTGCAAGTGATGGTGCCCAAGTCGTAAGGGCGGTAAAAAATGGGGTGTCTACACAACAGTTCAGCAACATTTCAACAAAAATTCCAACAATAGTTCAACAACATTTTAACAAAAATTTAAGCAAAAATTCAGCAAAATTCCAACCATAGTTCAACAACATTTCTAAAAAATTTCAGCAATATTTCAACAACATTTCTGTAAAATTACAGCAACACTTTCAGCAACATTCCAACAAAAATTTCAGTAAAATTTCAGCAACATTTCATCAAATTTTCAACTATATTTCAGCTGCATTGTCATTTCAAAACAAGAGAAATATAGCTAAATCTTCACCCCCAATGATCAAAGAACACAACAATGTTTTCTACATACTATGAAGATGAGAAAGTAAATGAGACTGTATTTTAGCCAAAAAGCCAAAAAGTCAACTAAAACTAATCACATCACCTCTCTACTTTTCTGCACATCTTTTCGTAAAAAGCCAAAAAGTTACTAAAATAACCTGTTCCCAAACGAGGCCTAATCCTGTCTGGTTTTGAAGTTTTTAATTCGTACTCTTTTATTTTTATTGAATTTTTCTTAATATTTTGGTAAATTATTTTATTTTATCTTGTTCATTGGGTTTGTGTCACCCACTTACTTATTTGGCACCGATTCAGAAGTTCTGGAAATTGCATGGTTTGGCACCGATTCAGAAGTTCTGGAAATTGCATGGTCCGGTATCTTGGTAAGAAACTACTTGTCTTGGTCTTCCTTTATTGAAGATCTTTGTGTCTTCTAGATAGAATCTCATAGGGATCTACCAGTGAAAAACCAGTGTTTTCCTTATTTGCGTGCTCTTTGTTCTCGTACTATTGACATGGTAAAGTATTTCGATTTCTTCCAAGTTTTCCCCCCCTTTGGTACAAGTACTTTGTGTTTTTGGTACTGGGCAATAGCTATAATTCCGTGTCAATCGTTTGAATAGTTTTGTTACAAAGCATGAATATGATTAGTTATGTCTTCTTGTTTATTACAGGTTCAGGATGCTGTTGGAAGCACTATTTCTTGGCCAACCCATTTCATTAGATTTGACTATGAGTAGAAATCCTAACATCTATGGATAGTTTTTGAGGACTTTAATGAATAGATTCCTATAATCTTTGAATAGTTTTGGCTAATGTTTACAAACTCGTATATGTACCATTTTGGATGGTTTATAACTTTTTGGATAATTTAAACTTAAGAATAGTCCTTTTGGATGGTTTTGAACTTGCGGTTAGTTTTTGGATGTTTGGAATGTATATTGACAATTTTTGAATGTTCATAATTTATGGATATAGTTTATTTTTTATGCTTGAAACAATATTTTGATGGTTAATTGATATATATATATATATATATGTTTGTAAAGCTTGTTTATAATGTTTTCTTATATTGTACAGGTAAAATAAAACCTGCTATTTTTTTATTTTTATTATTTTTAAAAAATATACATATTCTACGACATGCAAAAAGTGCTGTGAAATTTAGGCTATCTACAGCAGGCAAAATAGGTCATTGTATTAAATTTTCAACAACTAGCAATGAACGTCGTGGTTAGTCCCTTTAATTAACGGCATGCAAAAGTAGTTGTAGAAAAGTCAAACACGATGCACAAGATCCGCTGTTAAAAGTTCTGACTTTCCATGATTGGTCATAATGTAATTCCAAAAAATGAAGCATGTTCAAAGTATAGCAATCCATACGCCAAGAAAAATCACGAATTTCAATATATAGCAGACATTTAAGCATAGGCATGATTCTTAGGCAAGTGCATCATCAAAGAGTATACATTGCAAATCATATGAAGCATAATCAATCTTTTTCATATCAAAGTAATAACAGTATTAGCTCAAAGGATATAAGATATAATTTTTACCTCAAAAGCTTAAGAGAGTGTAGGAGGCATACCTTTGGTTCATGAGTTAGAAGCTTTTCAATCTTCAATTTTCTTTCATGAGGAGTTTATCTCAAAAGGGTTTAACAAGTATGTTAGCAAAATGATTTCCACCCTAAGTTGGTGTTACCCTTTTCTAATATGATTTTGTGTAAATATAGTATTCATAGAACAATCACTATTACTCAATAAAAATACAGTACAAATCACTTCTTATCACAAACTCAAAAGGTGAAAAATAATTCAATGATCAAACAAGAGTTTGGAATGCTATTTTTCAGAATTTTCAAGTTGTAGCACATAACATAATATGCATAAGAAAATAGTGTTATGCACTTTGTTTTATTAAGAAATGATGCAACAATATCATTTAATCACATGACATTATCAAGAGGCATTTTCATCAATTGAATCCACATACTCAAGTGTGATAAAACATTTTACTTAATGTGGAACACAACATGAATGTTATAAACAATTAATTCAACAATTTATCAATCAAAAGCATTTCATGAGATGTATGCCAATATAATCCATATTCAAAAGATATTCAATAGGATAGATGCAATGTCTCTACAAACGTATAATACTTCTTTTCATTTAGATATTGTTGATGGATCATACTCAAGAAATTTCACAACTCATTCAAATATTCCAATGTAAAGCATATAACCATGAAATTTTCATATTGAGTATATTCTTGAGATCACAAATATAAAATTCAAAATATAGATAGCATACATCTCAAAAACATGATATGACATCAAAATTGATTCTACAAAGATATGACTCAAAAAGGAATTAACATATTAGTATGAAGTCATATATAAGATGTGAAAAGTATGCTCACAAAAAAAAAATAAAAATAAAAATAAAAATTATCACTTCTTATCTCTTTTTCATAGCAATGGATGACATGATATAAAATGTTAATGAATACATGAATCATTCATATTTTAATAGGCATTCATCAAAATAATATAATTCTCATTTTTGAGTTCAATGAATGTTTGAAAGAAACTAGCAGAACATGACTTAGCAAATTTAGTACAATTAGGTTACATGGAAGTAATGATTAGACGCAACCTACACAAATCACTCCTTAAAGAATATACAACTTTAAGCTTAAAGGTGTGTTAGGAGTTATACCTTCATTTACCTCTTTTGTTCATCTTGGTGATTTTCATTTCATCATGCTTCTTCTTGTAAGAGCTGATTTTGCTCTTTAGATTGAATACTCTTGTTGTGCATTTCCTCTCGAAGTCCTTGGTGTTATTTGAGATTCCACCTACAAAATATCTTGATTTCTTTCTTGGTACCCATACTTTCTAAGGTTCATAGGAATTAGTCTCAAGAACATTTAATCTCATAAAAGGTTTACGAGGATCAAAACCAATGCCTACTTTGTCAAAAACACATCTTTTATTTCTAAGAAACTTGTTGAGGTTTTCTTTTCCTTTTACAAAATTTTCAAGAGTTTTGTTTAAATCCTCAACATTGTTTTTCAAAATGTTTTTCTCATTGGCAATAGACGTAAAGTCCTTTTTCAAAGTAGCATTTTCCATTTTTAAAACACTCACATCATTTGAAAGAGAAGTAACTAATTTCTTTAATTTAGAATTATTAACACAAACATTTCTAAATGTGTCATGTAATTCATTGAAAGCACTTTCAAGTTCTACATAATTAGAAATTACCTCATCTTGAGTAGATTCTTCTTCTCCAAGAGCCATGAGAGACAAGTTAGCTACTCCATCATTTTCTCCCCAAATGGCTTCCTTTTTGCTGCCATCCATCATTGAAAGTTCATGAGCCATGAGTGAGCCTAACAGTTCTTCAATGCCTAATTTTGTTAGGTCATTTGCTTCTTGGATAGCTGTAACCTTAGCTTCCCATTCATTTGGCAAAGACCTAAGTATTTTTCTTACAAGCTCACCATTAGTATAAGATTTACCAAGAGATTTTAGAGCATTAATAATATTGGTAAATTTATAAAACATCTCAGAAATAGATTTAAATGATTCCATAGTAAAGAGTTCATAATCATGAATAAGCATGTCAATCCGAGACTCTTTTATTTGGCTAGTTCCTTCATGGGTGATTTCAAGTTTATCCTAAATCTCTTTAGCAGTAATACACCCAGAAATTCTATTGTACTCATTTGCATCTAATCCACACACAAGAATAAGCTTGATTTTAGCATTAGCTTGAAGGAGTTTATAATCACGCTCATCAAATTCATCCTCAAGTTTAGGCACGCTGATATGGTCTACTACCTTGGTAGAGATTTTAGAACCTTTAGTGATAATGAGCCACAAAGCATAATTGGTAGTTTGAAGATACAGAGTCATTTTTTTCTTTCCAACGAATGTAATTACTACCATTAAAGAGAGGTGGTCTATTGCTAGCTTGTCCTACAGCAGAGTAAGTAGAATACATGGTTGCTATGGATCAAAAACTCAAGATTGTTAAATCTAAACATGAGCCCCAGGCTCTAATACCAATTGTTACCCAAAAAACAACCTAAGAGGGGGTGAATTAGGTTTTTACAATTAAAATTAATAATACCCTAATAAAAATTATGACTAGCACAATAGATAAATATAATTAATGAAATAAAAATAATTAAAACAAGTGTCTTAACAACAATGTCAGTTAATGATTTTAGCACAGTAAAAATGTGAAATATAGCTATGGCAAATTAAAATAAAATAAAGAGATAAGGGAGAGAGAGGCAAACAAATTTATAGTGGTTCGACTTCAACTCAACCCCCGTCCACTCCTCAAGCTTCACTTGAGATTTTCCACTATACTCTAGTTTCACAGGATGCTAGCAACATTTTCACAGATAGAGCAATCCTCCACAGATTTTACACAAACTTTCTAAGTCACGAACACTGAGTGTACTACACTCTTACAAGGTTGAAAAGAAGGTATTTTTGCTTTCACAGAAAGCTACAAGAATTATCTCTCAAAGACAGATATAAAAATGAGACTCTAATTTTTTTGTAATCCTCACACAGGAAAGATGAGCTTAAAGCTATACGTCTCAGTGTATAATTCTGAAAGAGGATGTAAACAAAAATTGAAGAACACTTCTCAGAGAATTTTTCAGAGAATAGATGTGAGTGATTATAGATCAAAGAATATTTTCTGTTTTTTTTGTAACTTGTTTACATTAGAGGCTTTGGTATATATAATGAAACTTGTAGCCGTTTATAGCCATTGTATTCATTTGAATATATAGCCGTTGTATTCATTTGAATATCTTCCACTCTATCATTACTAATTTGAATATTTTCCACTCCATCATTACAAATTTGAATATCTTCTACTTGAACATTTTGAACCTTTTGAACTACTGCTGTGTAGGGCTGTTTGAACCTTTTGGTTTGCTGCTGTGCTGGGCTATTTGAACCTTTGTTTTGGGTTGTTTGAACCTTTGGTTTAATCAAATATAAAATATATTCTAACAACATTTAGGATAAAAGTTTTAGGTAAGAAATAATGTGACAAAATAAATTTTGATTCTATTTTTATCTTTCAAATAAATTAAAACATAATTAAATAAATCATGAAAATAAATTGTGGATTCTATTTTTCTTTTTCAAATAAATTAAAATATAATTAAATAAATCATCAAAATAAATTTTGGATTCTATTTTTTCTTTCAAATAAATTAAAATATAATTAAATAAATCATCAAAATAAATAAGTCTAACAATTACTATGTAATGCGCACACAAGTATAGACTATTTTGCAAAACTTGGAACACTTTGATTCATGTTTGTTTGAAAATTGTTTTGAATATGTACCACTTGAAAAAGTAATCGCATTTGTCCATTACTCAAATTATTCCAATTCGAGCAATTAGGCTTTATCTACAAGCATTCAAGTAATTTATCAATTAAGCACTTAGCCTTATGGCAAACATGCTAGACATGACAACAATCACATTCATGCAATATGCTAAAGCACAAAAATGCTCACCTAGCACTCCGAGCCAAAGAGATGAAAGAGTTAGAAAAATGCGTGATCCTAACTAATGCAATACGGCTAATGCAACACATGCGATATGTAATTTACTAGGCTCGGCTACTAATATGGCGTATGAATCAATTTGATAGCATGCGGTCTAAGCACGTATTCAAAGAAGTATTGACAAACAATGCAAGTTAGAATGATGCACCGAGCTCAATGCATGCAAGACAATGGATGCAAGGCATGAGAGATGCTAAATGAAACGTGATGCCTTAAACTAACCATCATAAGCAGTTAAATAAAAAGGAGAAAGACGTGGGGTTGGAAGACATACACGTTATTACAAGATTG